CCTATGAGGGTGTTTGGGGAAGAGAGGTGCATTTCCATCAGTAAGGACTGAGTGAGGAAGATCTGCCCTTGCTGGTGTGGGTGGGCAGCAGCCGACCTATCGAAGTCCTGAATGGAATAACAAGGTTAGAGGAAAAAAGAGGAAGGGCAGCCTTGCGGTCTCTGCCTGAGCTGGGCCCTCCGTCTGCTCCTGCCCTGGGGCGTGGCTCTCCTGGTTCTCGGAACTTCGACTCCGGACAGAAACTCTGCCACCAGTTTTCCTGGTCCTCCAGCCTGTAATTGCATGAGTTCATCCTTTCCCATCAAATCCTGTTTATCTCAAGCACCGTGGCTACCACGGTGTCTGAGAGTCCAGGGGGAGATCAAGGACCTGGGTGGGGGTGGGGGAGCCAGGAGATGCCGAGGGGGTGGGGAGCAGAGCGTGCCCTCTTGCCCTCTCCCAGAGGGAGGCAGCAGAGGGCCACCGGACTGTCGCCCCTCGGGCTGTCGGCTGCTCCATTCCTTCGCGTCCACTGTCCACTGCACAGCCTGTTTCCAAGGACTCACCTGGTTTGAAGTCTTTACCTTTCAGCCCCTGCCTGTTTTCAATGTAGCCCCTGCCTCACCTTCCCACAATTCCTTCTGTTCATTCCTAAGCAGAGCTCCCCTTCATGTCTAGAGCTTAGGAAACACACTTTCATGTGCTCCTGCCTCCCCTTCCAGTCTCACCCTCCCCAGCACCCTACGTGCCACAGCCCCTAGGGCCCTGAGCCAGCCCTCAGGTACCACCGAAGAGGCCCGGTGTCTGTGGGGGTGCTGCCCTGCACCCACTGGTTCTGACCGTGACCATGACTAGACCTGCTAGCGTTGCACCCTCAATCCTTCCCAGGGAGTTGCCAGTGACGGCTGATGTTCCTGAGGTCTCCCTTCCCCTTCCGCTCCTGGGCACCCACCAGGCCCACTGCCTGGGGAAGGAAGACCAGGTCTGGCCCCAGAGACACACGAAACCATCCCACACTAGGGCAGCAGCTAGATAGAGGGGGTCCACGCCAAAGCCTCGCAGCCGAGAAACACTGCCCTCCCCCACCAGCATGGCGCCTCTGCGGCTCTCAGGGGCCCTGGCTGGGAGTGGGGGGTGGCAGTGGGAGGATAGGCAGATGGCAGAGTGAGCAGTGTGGGTAGCGAAGGGCACAGGTCGTGGAAACCAACATCTCAGTAGCTGGCAGCTCTAAGCTGGGCAACTGGAAGGCACCTAAAGCAGTCAGCATTAAACCGGGGGCAGAGAGCACATCTCCTGGGCTGGGGGTGGAAGGAACGAGGGACAGAGAGTGACCATGTGTTCAGAGAGCAACACCCTTTGAACTCCTACAGAAGGTGAGAAGAGAACTCGGATCTGAGCCCTGGGGGACAGACTGGAGTCCCAGCAGGGAAGAGCCCATGGGGGAGGCAGCTGATGGAGTGTCGAGTGGGCGCTTTCTCTCCTGGTTGCCTGCCGTTGGCTCCCAGAGACCAGGGGCCCAGAGAATGCAAGACGCGAGGCATGCAGGCCCCTGGTGGATCATCTGGCTGATGGCTGGGAGGGAAAGGCGCAGAGGGGAAGGAAGGCCCTAGGTCCCTGACTGTACCGACAGCTCAAGGTGTCCACCAGCGTTGTTCTCGGCTGTGGAACTCCAGGCTGGTCTGCCCCTCCCACAGACTGCTTCCTGGATTAAATGCCCACCCCTTTCCGGGTTATTGCTCTGTTTGGACCCCTCCAGATCTGCCTGACTGAGGAGCCCTGGCTGGGAGGCTCCCTTTCCCTTTCCTATCCCAGACTGAGGCTTCCTAGGGCCTCCTTTGCACTTCCAGATGTCACCGTCTTTCTATAAAATGTCTCTCCCACTGCCTCTCCCTAGCCCTTCTCCGACTGGCCAGGGTCCCCCTCTTTTTGCCTCTGGAGCCCCAGGACCATGGTGATGGACTCCTGAAGATTTGGGGGGGGGTGTGTGGCCTGTGTTCCTTGGTAATTGAGTTGTTTCTCCTGGTCAGAAAGAAGGCTGGGGGCAGCGGCCTCCTGTGGGTCCCGTGGCCCTCTCTGGCTTCACTGGCGCCTCTGAGATCCAGCAGAGAGGAGGAGGAGAGGAGGAGGGAAGCTTCCTCTTCCTCCGCCTGCCTTCCCCAGCTCTCTGTCTCGCCCCTCCCCTCCCTGCTTCATCTCCGGCACAAATCACATGGTGACAGCCCCATCCAACCTTTGGGGAAGGGTTTGTAAATGTGTCTTCCTTAGCTCTGATCTCCAAATTGTTCCCTTTATTGCATTTGTCACGGTGAAGATTAAAGTCCCTGGGTGGCCTGCACCACAAATCACAGAGTCTGCCCAGGGAGCGGCTGCAGGTTGGGGACTGATGGAGGGGCCTGGGCCCTGTTACAGGGCATGCACGTGTGCACACGCTCACAAGCACACACTGCCGGGTGGGGGGTGGACTTGGGCCCAGGGACAGAGAGATGGGCCCCGAATATTGCTATTCTGAGCTCTTGGGCCCCTCTGCAGCTGTTTGTAACACCTTCCTCCAGGCTGTCCTCCAGGATCCTCCCACCCGATGTGTAGCAGGCTCCAGTGTCTGCATTGCTGTCTCTGGTCTTTCCCATCAAGCGGGAGGCAAAGCTGTGCTCACATCAGAGCTGTTCCCCTTGTCTCCGATCTCCGGCCCCATTGGTCTCCAGATCTCCTCTTCACGAGCCCAAGGTCAGCTCGGGCCCCGTGCTCTGCAGGGGCCCCACCCAGGAGAAAGCTGCCCTTACCCTGTCCCGGCACCCCCGTATCTTGACTTTTTTTTTCTCCTCTTAGGTCACAACCAGGCACAGAGAGGACACAGCTGGGGAACCAAAGGACAAAGCTCCCTTGTACGCACGCACTGGAAGCGGCTCCTTTCCTACCCCCGTCCGAGGTGGGCTTCCTGCCTGTCCCTCATGCACATTCATAACATTCAAATTTATGCCGTAATCTCCGCCGCTCCATATGTATGAGCCTTTGATGGGTGTTTGGGTTTATGGGATGCACCCAGCCCTCCATTCCCTCTCCCGCCCACCGCCTCCAACCACTGCAAAGACGCTCGTACATAATTGACATCGGCAGATTCTTTCATTATACAAGATTTAGCATCTGCTCGGGGATCGCTCGCTCCTCACTCACTATAGATGACTTTTCCCCGCGTTTCCTATTATCAATTCAAATTAGCCCCATTTCCCCACCCGACCAGTGCAGCGTTTACACTTGACAGTGAGCAAACAGCAAGGCTGTTATGGGCTTCTCAATTATTTAGGCCCAGTTAGGCCAGGACCCAGAGGGCCTCAACACAGGGGTAAGCTGGGGTGGGGTCACCAGGGGACGGGGGACGGGGCAGCCACTACCTGGCCTCTGTTTGGCTTTCTGACAGCCCTCTACCTCCTCGCTTTCCACCCTGGGGGACCATCCAGCCCCACAGATCTGGTGAGACGATCCCTTCCTGCCCCCACCCTCAGCAGCAGCCCCCCCCCCATCCTCTCCCACCCTCCCAGCCCCTACTGGCCCCAGGGGAAACTGATGGGCTACAAGCATCAACCAAAAAGGTCATTGGCACCAGCCAGGCTGGCCTCCTGCCCCTTAGGATGCCTCTGATCATGAAGATTCCAGGCGAAGCCCTAGGATTTCAGAGACCAGTGGGAGAGCCTGGGATCAATCCACAGAGCCCCAGGAAGTGAGAGGCACACACAGACCCCGAGATGGAGACACCCCAGAGTGACTGAGGGGCTGAGTGAGAAGTCACAGGAAGGCAGAGAGGCGAGGCAGGTTCTCAGCTCCAGGGGCTGTGCCCGGTGGTAATCAGATCAGCGCTGCTGCCCGCTGGTCTGACTCACCCTGGCCCTGCTTCCTGTAATAGCTCCTGGGCCCAGTGACTATCACAGGTTCTCCCGGGCCCACTAAACGGCCAAGAACCAAGGCAGAAGCTTCAAGTCAGCACCATGGCCCCAACCTCTGGTTCCAGTCAACCCTCAGCCCAGTGCAAGCTGGGCCCCAGACAGCCAGCTCAGCTCAGTCCAGCCACGCCCCCTCCCACCCCCTCCCTTCTCCCTCCAGCCCAGATCAGTTTCCAAGGGCAGGGATGGTGGAGGCAGCAGGCAGGGGTCCGAAAGGCTCTGGGATTAGAGGTGTCTTTCCCATGCTCAGCTTGTGCAGAATCAAAGAATTCCTCCGTCTGATTGGATTTACCCTAAGTCACAGGCGTGTGGGACCTTCTTTCCCTCAGCAACAGCTGGAAGCAGCCCTAAATATGATTAATTAACGTTGTAAAAAGCCCCGGACACAATTAAGATTTATGTGTGTGTGTGTGTGAGTGTGTGTTGGGGGGACAGGAGTGGGGGAGGCACTGGATTACCAGCCACCTCCAAGGGCCTCCTGGGAAGAGACACAACACTTCCACAGAGACATTGCTCTGAACGTCCATCCCAGGCCAGGGGCACTGTACCCAGCTTCCAACTTGTGAGCAGACTAAGCCCTTTCCCTGTCCCAGGGGCCCTGGGCTGTTTTCTGCTCTCTCTTCTCTGTTTAGGGGGCAGAAGGCAGGGTTCCGGGGCAGGTGCCTCAGCTCTCTTTCTTCTGCTGCAAGCAGAGTTCTCTGCCAAACCTCAGTTCCTCTTGCTGGGTCGTCCTAGGCTTCAGAGACAAATGCACAGTCCCCCAGCTTAGCCGCATAGACCCAAGCCCCAGTGGGACAGCAAATAGGAAGCTAGAGGAATCTGAACTCTCAAAAATGAGTCTCCAGTCAGGCCTCTGCCCTTTTGTCCTCAAAGACTGGTGTCTCTGAGACAAGTCAGAGCCCTCCGGTACCTCCAAGATGACAAAAGCATTTTCAGTGGGCCCTCTCCAGCCTCCTGGGCCACCCCCGTGCGGTTTGGTGCTCTCATTCCTTAAGGTGCGCCGTCCTAGCTTTGATAAGACGCTGCTGATTAGCATTATTTATAACCTCATAAAGGAAGGGTATAGGAACGCAATTCCAGTCACGGATCTTAATTTATTTTCATTCATTTAGTGCAACTGATTGATCTTCTTCTGTTTTGCTGAAATGATTAAGCTCAAGAAGAGATTGCCTAAGTTCTAGCACCGCTGGCCAAAGGTGGAATGGGCCGGAAGAAGCAGGGAAAACCCCCGAACTTTATATCCCCTCTTAAGGTCCTTCTGGGATCGTGGCCCGAATGCTTAGGGCTTCCGCCCTATGGCCTGGCCCCCTGGGGAGGAACCCAGGGAGGTCTCCTCGGAGTGGTCCTCACACATCCTGGTGGAGCTCTTAACCAACAGGTACTTCAGCCGCTGCAACGGGAGCTCACCTCCTGACACCAGGGTGGGGTCCCCTCCCTGCTCTGTCTGCATGAGGAAGGTCACCCTCGCCTAGAGGGAAATGGTAGAGATGAAGCTTCAACGGTCTCTTCCAGGACCCAGAGATTTCAGGAGATTTTGTTGAACGTCCTGAATTTTTAGCTGGTGGCTGCGTAGAGGAATTAAGGCCCACTCCGGAGTTCTCGGGTGATCACTGGACCCTAAAGAGGAGAAAAGAATCAATTCTTCTCCCCGGGAGCCCTGACCCGGGATTGTCCTGAGACCCCAGATGCATGTGTGATGGCTCCACAGAATGGGTCCAATGTGCAGCGCCCCCCATTTCCACTCACATCCTGTGGGCGCTATCTAAAGCACCCCCTACTGGAGCAGGAGAGGGAGTGAGATGGTGGGAGCAGCAGACTTGGGTGCCAGTAGGTGAACCAAGGCGGCAAGAGGGAGGCTGGCAAGAGGAAGACAGGAAGTCTGGGCACCCAGCTCCTCTGTGAGCATCCTCACCCCTTCCTTACACACTCTCTGCTCCTCTGGGGTCAGGTGCGGGCGTCTACTCAGATGGCTTCTCGAACCTTCACAGGCCAGTGTCTCTGCACGTGTGGTAGCTCTGCCCTGTGTTGATGCTTGGTGACCCTGTGCTACGGATGGGTGGGTCACCAGAAAGAACAAAGGGTGAGGGAGTTCCCCAGGGAAGAACTGTGCCCAGCCGGGTGTGTGGTTTGATGGACAAAGTGTTTGAAACAAACATGAAACTGAGCTTCACATTTACTGACTCTGCCTAGCACTGAAGTCTTGACACTGAGAGACTGGCCCTTGAGTTGGAGATTTGCCCGTGCATGGACTCATGAATATTTAGCCTCTGTCAGGGACAACGGCTGTGGTCCAGCCATCCGCTTCTCTGAGACTGGGAGCTACCTTTTCTTGTTTTTGTTTTTGTTCTTTTGCAGAGGCAGGGGTACCTGTGGTAGGGAGGAAGTGGCTCCTACCTTCTGTGAGAGTCCGAGATCAAACAGGTGGTGAGTCCAGAACCCTTGCCGTGCACACTGCTTCTTCCCTTCACCAAGCTGGATCTGCACCGAGGCAGAGTTGTGGAACTAGAGGGAGAGTCACCGGAGACCCTGAGGCACTGAGCACTTCCAAATGCTGTGTCCTGGACCCGGGTCTCTGCAGAGCAGGGGAGGGGTTTGGCCTGACACCTTGCTGGGCTGCTTGGGGAGCAGACTTGGTTGCTCACACAGTCCATTGTGTGGCCTCCTGGACAACCGGAGATGCCTTCCCGACCAGCATCTTACCACGCTGGCCACCCTTCCTCATCTTCCAGGGAGAAGGGGAAGCTTGGGAACACCACGGGGGCACCCGTTCTATTCTGTCTGGAAGCCTACGTGGTATCGCTGGGAGTGCATGGGACTCGGTTGGGGGCTGGAGTTAGGGCTTGCTCTTAGGGCCTGCTTCACCCTTGCAATCAGCTTTCCGGAACTTTCAGTAGACTTGCAGGGTCAGGCTTCCCCCGAAGGGACTCTTACTAAGACCAGATCTGTCCTTGGGATTCCCCCCGACCCCAAAGCCAACTTAGGCAGCAGCTTCCAGAGTAGGAATCCTGATACAAGCCTTCCCCTGACTTGTAAGAAGCCTAGGACAGGGACGGGAAGGGCACAAAGGGTGACTTAGAGGGAATGTAAGGGGTTGCTATTTCAAAGCCACCATTTAGTGAGTGCTTATTTTGTGCCAATCAGTGGCCGAGGCATTTCACGTGCTGTATCTCACTAAGCATTTACAGCCACACAGTGTGGTAGCTATTTCAAGTGTTACCTTCTGTTGCTGTGATGAGGAAATTGAGGCGCTAGGTTGGTTAAAAACAGGTCCAAAGCCGCTCGGATATCAAGCAGAGAATCTGGCTCTTGCACTCAGGGGCACTGCCTTCCTCAGCGGATCCACAGGACTGCTGAGGCCCACAGCGAGGTGGGGGTAGGGCAGGGTTGCCAGATTCAGCAGACGACAACGCAAGATGCCCAGTTCAACCTGAGTTTCAGAGAAGCAAGAAAAACAAGTAACTTTAAAAGCATAAGTATATCCCAAATAGGGCGTGGGATACACTTACACTGAAAGCTTATTTGTTGTTGACCTAACGCGCACAAATTATGCTCCATCTGGCACTTCTCGGGCGTGCTCACAGCCGGGCCCAGCCCTGTCCCCTCTCCCACGGCACGCCTCACATTGGATTGCTCAGGCTGCCCTGGCGTCCCTCTTCTGCCCTCCTGAACAGGGTAGGGAGCTCCAAGGATGAGGCAGGGCTAGGGGACTGGTTGGTACAGCACAGTCAACCATAAGTGGGGCACCAACTAGCAGGGATCTCCAGAAAAGAAATGAAAAATTGAAGGAAGAAAATCGAGAAGTTGGAGATGTCAAAAAAAAAAAAAAAATCAAGCAGACATCGTGGGAAAAATGAGACGTTCCTGGCATTCACGGGTCGGTTTCGCGCTGGATTCTGCAGTGCAGTTACGGGTTGTGTGGAACGGATGGCAGCACCTGGTCAAGGGTTAGGACTTGGCGAGGGGTCCAGACGGAGCCTGCCTCTGGGATCCCAGCTCCTCTTTCCCTGCAGGGCAGACCCAGAAGAGGGGCAGGTGGCAGCTTCTGATCCCCTGGTTCCCAAGCTGGCACGGCCCCTCTGCCCCTAACCCCGGCCGGCCTGGCCTGGGGCTGAGCTCAGGTCCCAGGCCCTCCTCGGCTCCCCTCTGGTTCCCTGGCTCTGTCCTCGGCGCTGAGCTGCGCGGTGACACAAGGCTCCAGCGCCGGCTCCAGCGCTCGCTCAGGCGTCCTCAGCTTCGGGCCCCATTCCCAGCTCCTGTGCTCGCTCGGCTTGCTCGCTCGGGGCGTCTCCCTACTGAAGAATTATGCTGCATAAAGCAGCCGCCACCATCTTGAACTGGCAGTGAACTTTGCTTTCTACATATAAATACAGATAGCAATCACACCCCAATCAGCGCCGAGGCTGCAGGGCATCATCTCAGCAACTCTAACTTTCCCATTACGATAATGTGATTTTCACTCAGTCTATAATATCACCAGCCATGAATAAAGCAACTGGCTCTTTCTGTCTCTCCTCCCTCCCCCCCTTCGCCACTCTCTCCCACCCTCCTGTCTCCTCTCTGTTCCTCCCTCGCTGCCTCCCCCTCTGTCTCTGCCACCCCTCCTGGTGATCGTCTCCATCTCCATCTCTGCCTCTCTGGACACCTGGCTCTTCCCCGCCCAGCCTCTCTCTCCCGCATCCTCTGGGACTTGCATTCCCTGAGAATGAAAGAAAGCAGGGGATTTGCTGAGCCCCGAGGGCTCAGTTAGCTTCTGCTCCCCAGCTCTGCTGTCATCTGCCTTTGCCTGGAGGTGAGGAACTCTTGGGGGTGGGGAGGGCGCTGCTCGGCTTTGGGGAGGGGATGCTGAGCTCGGGCTCCTGTCTCCTCTCTCCTCTTTCCTTAGGCTGCAGGATGGCTGTCGGTGAAGAGTCCCATCAGGAATGTCAAAGCCAAAGACTCAGGCACCAGAGGATCTGGCCAAGGAGATTCGAAAATGTTCTGCTTAGGGGAGGGACTAGAGCTCTGGTTTTCTGGATTTGGGGGACCCAACCCAGCCAGGCTGCAAGTGCCAGACTGCTGGGGGTAGATACAGCCGGTGAGAGGGCGCTCTGGAGGGGCGGGAGGGTGGGGTGGGGGATGGCCCAGGGTCTGGGGTCATTTCTGAGTCCAGCTCAGCTCCAAGCCTGGCAGAGTCCAGGCTGGAGCTGCCTTTGCCAGGGCACCAGAGGAAAGCCCACAGACCTTGAGCAAGATGTCAGCCCCCTTCTCAGAGCTCCCGGAAGGGACTCCCCCCTCCTTCCCCGACGGGGGCCCTGGCGGGTAGTGGTGTGCTGGGGAGATCGTCTGTCCCCCTGGGTTTATATCACAGCTCTTCCACCTTTTAAGTTTAGGACAAAGAACAATGCTCTTAACTTCTATAAGCCTCAGTGTTCTCATCATTAAAAATGGGCACAATAGTACCTACCCAGTAAATAAAATAATGTATGTAAAGTGCTTGACACATTGCTAAATGTTCAATAAGTGTCAGCTACAATTATTATTATCAGCAAATATTGAATCATCACCTGTTACCTGTGTTAAAGCAGGACAGCCTGGAGTAAAGAACCTGGGGTTTGGGAGTCAGACTGGGTTTGAATCCTGGCTTAGCCTCTTGGCAGCTTTGTGGACTTGGAAAAATCACAGCTTCTTTGAGACGCAGTTTTCTGTAGCAGGAATACCAGCGGCCCCTACTGCATAGGGGCGGTGAGGGCTCCCCAGGCTAACCCACTGCAAGGCCCACGGCTCTGGGAACCCTAGCAAGGAAGGGCCAGGCCCTGTGGATGCAGCCAGAGTGTGGCAAACACTGCCCTGGGGCTTCTGGGGCTTCTGGGGCCCACCGCTGTCTGCGGTTCATCCTCTGGAGCCCTGACCTTGCTCTCGTTGGTTGGTGACCTCGACCTTGCATTCCTGTGGAGGAAGCGGCTTGCTTCAGTTTCTCTGGCTGGAAGAACCTCACCTTTGTGGCTGCCCACCTGCTTGGGCTGGAACTGGGACTCCCGCCCTGTCTCCTTTCTAGGGAGAGTGGGGACAGATGCGCTCCCCTAGGCAAGGGTGACAAACTAGAATCAAGCAGCCTCTTCCTGCCAGTTGCTGTGTTTCTAAGTGTTCCTGTTTGCTTGCCCGTTTCGTTTTCCTTGGTTTCTCTCCAAAGGCTCCTTAGAGGAGCTTCAGCCTGACCTCCCGTGGAGGAGGAAGGGACAGAAGACTCTGCCCTCCCATCCTGGTCAGTCCAGGAGGGGCCCAGGAACCAGCTCTGAGGCACTTGGGGGCAGAGTGTCTGGCAAGTGGCAGATGCGAATCTCTCCCCTCGTGTTTAGCTTCTGTACCTTGACTCTGGGAAGAAGGAAGCTACTCTTTAAAACCGAGAACGGGAGCAAGTGTTTAGTGGTTGAGACACCCACCTCCCACAAATTGGAGTATTCAGATCGGATTCTGACTTCGGCTTCTTGTTAATGCAGGCCCTGGAAGGCAGTGTTGATGGCTTAAGTAGTTGGGATCCAGCCCCCAACATCTGCTCAGCCCAGCCCTGGTTGTCCCTGGCATTTGGGGAGTAAATCAGCTGATGACAGCTCTCTCTGTGTCTCTATGTCTCTGTCTTTCAAATAAATAAATGAAAATAAAAATTAAATAAAATTCAGAGCCAAAGCATTCTTAACCAGGTGTTGTATCCAAGGGAAACTAACAGCGGGCAGACTCACGACAGGACTCAGGGCCTGGTCTCCTCTGGCTCCTTCCTCCACTCCTTAAATACAAGTAAGACACAGTCGAGGCCTTCCAGGGGAGCGCTGCCTGGTGGAGGAGACAGGCATGCATGAAGGGAAGCAAAATACAGAGTGAGAGATACACAATAGAAGTAACTCAGGAGGGGCCAGTGCTGTGGCCTAGCGGGTGAAGCTGAGGCCGCATCCCCCATAAATGCCAGCTCATGTCCCAGTTGCTCCACTTCCCATTCTGTTCCCTGCTGATGTGCCTTGGAGAGCAACAGAAGATGGCCCATGTCCTCGGGCCCCTGCACCCACGTGGGAGACCCAGAAGAAGCTCCTGGCTCCTGGCTTCGGCCTGGCCCAACCCTGGCTCTTGTGGCCATTTGTGGGGTGAACAATGGATAGAAGATCTGTTTCTCTGTCTCTTCCTCTCTCTCTGTAACTCTGACTTTCAAATAAATAAATAAACCTTTAAAAAAAAAGAAAGGAAAAGATACAGGTGCAGTGACAAAAAAAAAAGATAATGCTTAAGGTAGCACTTCATAGAGGAGGTGGTGCTTTGGGAATGTGGGCAAGAAGGGAGGGAGGTGGGGGAAAGGACATTCAGGGTGCAGGAGCCTGGAGGGGTCCAACAGTCTGGCATGTTTGGAGAACTCCATGAGGTCCAGAGGGTGGGGTAAGGAGGTCACTTTAAGAGAGAGGCCAGCCGAATGAACAGATAATAATCAGCCATGCAAGACCTCAAACTTTTATCCTGCGACTGGGGACCACTGCAGAGCTTTCACAGTGGAGTGATTTGCGTTTCTGAAAAGTAGCTCTGAGCATGATGCAGAGAGAATGGGAGGATGGCTGGGAGATCTGTGACAAGGCTCTAACAAAGAGACAAGAGACAAAGAGAGGCCGGCGCCGCAGCTCACTAGGCTAATCCTCCGCCTAGCGGCGCCGGCACACCGGGTTCTAGTCCCGGTCGGGGCGCCAGATTCTGTCCCGGTTGCCCCTCTTCCAGGCCAGCCCTCTGCTGTGGCCAGGGAGTGCAGTGGAGGATGGCCCAGGTGCTTGGGCCCTGCACCCCATGGGAGACCAGGAAAAGCACCTGGCTCCTGGCTCCTGCCATCGGATCAGCGCGGTGCGCCGGCCGCAGCGGCGGCCATTGGAGGGTGAACCAACGGCAAAAGGAAGACCTTTCTCTCCGTCTCTCTCTCTCACTGTCCACTCTGCCTGTCAAAAAAAAAAAAAAAAAAAGAGAGAGACAAAGAGAACCTGAGTCATGGCAGGGTTGGCAGAAACCTGGAGGAGTGACAGACTCGAGACCCTTAGGAGAGAATTGGCAGGACTTGCCCATGGTGGAGGGGAGGCTTCCTGGACAACCACCAGGTCCTCGCCTTGTGAGAACGGTTGAATGGTGCCAGACATGGAGACCAGAAGGGGTGGGATAGGGTTGCGGAGAGTGCAAAGCAGTGAGTTCAGACTGGGACAGGTCCCCTGGGGGGTGGCGGAGCCCCATAAAGATAGCAGGAGGTTAACTGAATGTCAAAAGTGACTTCATCTCCACACATTTGGAAGCTAGATATATGGTAGGGAGTTGGAAATACACATATGGCTTTCGAGAGAGAACTTTCTCAGGGTGTAAGACTGGAGAATGACCAACAGACGGATGGTGAGTGAGGGCACAGGAAAGAAGTCAGTGACTTTGTAAAGACAAAAATAGAGTCAAGAGTCTTAGGGAGAATCAGTGCTACAGCAGTGGCTCTCAGCATTGGCAGTGCATGAGAATCAACCAAGGACGTGAAAACTGCCAGGGTCTGGGCCCCACCCCAGACCAGCTGAGCCTGAGTTCCTGGAGTTGGGGCTGAGAATCAAAGACTCAGTGGACAGGTGTTTGTGTGGGGAGGGGAGGTGGAGAGAGCAGGACTAGCCACAGGGTGAGAAGGAATGGTCAAAAAGATAGGAAGAGAAGCTGGAAAGAGGAGTGTTAGAGAGAAAAGAAGGAGGAAAACTTTAAGAAGGAAGAGCTCACAGTGCAGTGGGTGTTTGGGGCAATAATTAGGTTGTTTCTTCAGATGCCCACATCCCATGTTGGGGTAACTGCTTCAAGTCCTGGCTACTCTGCTTCTGATCCAAATTTCTGCTAATGCACAGTCCATGGGACGCTCAAGTACTTGGGTCCCTGTCACCCATGTGGAAAACTCCCATGGATCCTGGCTTTGGCCTGGCCCAACTCTGGCATTTGGGAAGTGAACCATCATATGGAAGACCTGTCTTCCATAAAAAAGTTAACAAGGAGAATTCAAAACATCAGGCAATACACAGCAGACTCATATAATGACAATTGCTTTAAGTAATACTCTGGCCTCAGAATCAGCCCTTAAGACTTCCTGTTCTGGCTGAAAAGCTGGTGAGAGCATTTCAGGCATGGAAACCAAGACACTGTGTTTAAAAAAAAAAAAAAAAAAAAAAAAACTTCTTCATGAAGGATCTCTGCAGTGAGACCCCAACGGAAAGAAGGGGCCATCAAAGAAGGATGATGTAATTTTCTCTGACAGGAGGAGAGAATTTCCAATTTGCTTATGGCTTTGTCTAAATACTGACAGAATTTGTGGATTCAAAAGCCTGGACAGCTCATGTCAAGAGCCTCAGGTGGTCACTGACCTCATACATAAGAATGTTAATTGTTAAATTAACAATAGGAGTCACAGTGCACTAACTCCCCATGCAGGGCCTCTATCCACAATGAGTTGGATTATGAGAGTTAACTGTAAAACTTGTTCTCAAACAGTTTGTGTGTGTGCAAGTTGTAGAAATCTTTACTTAATATAGAGTTAGTCTTCTGTGTACAAAGTAAATTGAAAATGAATCTTAATGGAGAATGGGACTGGGAAGGGGAGAGGGAGGAGGAAAAGGGGGTAAGAGTGTGGGTGGGAAGGTGGGTATGGTGGGAAGAATAATTATATTCCTAAAATTATACTTATGAAATTTGTATTCCTTAAAAAATTAATTAATTAGTTTAAAAAATCAGGCAATGCAGAATAACAGCAGTTAACCCCTAAGCAGTGTGTGTGCCCTGTAAGGGACTCTACCTGAGCTCACAGAATTTTCCCAGAGACCCTTTGGGACAGGTATTATTATTATTATCACTACCATTTTTAAAGATAAAGAAGCTGAGATGTAGGGATGTTAAGCACTTGCCCAAACTACACAATTGGTAAGCAGAAGCCAGATTCCAACTCAGGTAGGCCACTACCATACCTGTGCTGTGTCTTGCAGAGGGCCAGGTGACAGGGCGAGATCAATGCAGCCTTCCAAGGGCCCAGCTCGCCCCTTCCTCATCTTTCATCTCCTTCCCTCTTTCCTACCACCCTAGGTCACTGAGGCAGCTGCCCTCCCCTCCCTGGCCTTCCGCTGACCATGGGACAAGATGGAGTTGGTCCTCCTCCCCCACTCTTGATGGGATGACAAAGGGCCGCCCTTGGGGTGGCCACACTGTGCCTTTGTTCACCAGCCTGAGCTGAGCAAGCACCCCAGGAGGTCTACAGAGCCTGGGAGGAGGGTGAGGAATTGGAAGGGGTTGAGGCTGGCAGAAGAAACAAGATCTGAACCTCCTGGAAAGGGAGCCTTCCTGGGAAGTAACCCAGATGCAGATCTCTGCAATCATGTGCATAAACAGACCCCTGGGGACACCCCCATGCATGTTCTTGCCTAGCATGGGCAAGCCCTGGGGCAGTCCTGGTAGAATTGCTGGAGGGCTGTACAGACATCCTACAAGTGCCACCCCCAATCTCTGGGAGTAGGGCCTAGGATTGGATGGATTTCCAAAGCTCCCAGCTTGTGCAGCCCGTGTTGAGAACCACAGCTTCTAGAAAATAGCTCTGGATAAGTATAAAAAGACCCGGGTTCTAAACCCTTAGCTTTGTCACTTCCCCACTGGCAGCCTTAGGCAACCCTCCAGACCTTTTTATTTATTTATTTTTAAATTAACACTCTTTTTTTTTTAAGATTTATTTATTTATTTGAAAGTCAGAGCTACTCAGAGAAGAAGAGGCGGAGAGAAAGTCTTCCATCCGCTGGTTCACTCCCTAATTGGCCACAATGGCCAGAGCTGTGCTGATCCGAAGCCAGGAGCCAGGAGCTTTTTCTGGGTCTCCAACACGGATGCGGGGGCCCAAGGACCTGGGCCACCTTCCACTGCTTTCCCAGGCCATAACAAAGAGCTGGATCAGAAGTGGAGCAGCTGAGACTTGAACCAGCACCCATATGAGATGTCGGCACTACGGCGCAGGCCCCCAGACCTCTTTAAACCTCTGCTTCCTTCTCCCTATAAACTGGGGACAGTTATTTTTAATTGCTCTCAGTATTTTTTTATTTTAACTATCTGCCTTACACAAATTGTTATGATGCTCAGATAGTCTGTGGGATGTGACGTATTTTGTCAGTCATGTAGGGTAGGTACCGAGTGAGGGTGTGATGGAATTAACCTACACACACAAAAACAACAAGTAAGCATGTGCATTTACTTTGCACAGGTAGGCGCACTTGAGTGACTACCCCCCCCACACACATACACACACACAGACATACCACAAAGAGCTGCTGGTTGGGTTCCAAAAGCAGAGTTGTGATTTTCTAGATATGGGCTTTTATGTTTTTAGCCTTCAGAATGTACTATTAAAATATGGAGAGATGTGTGTGTGTGTGTCTGTGTCTGTGTGTGTGTGTGTTTAAATGATTGCCAAAGTGCAGCATCATTTGAGTCCGCCTGTCAGCTTATCAGAAACGTCATCTATAACCTTCACTGTTTGCAGTTTAATCTCCCCTGCCTCCCCGCGGGCCCTGTTCTGACATTTTAAACCCCATAAATGACAGTAGTGCTGTAAGCCATTTTGAAAAAAGCCAAGCATTTGGAAAAAACACGCACAGAGACATTCCCCTAAATTCTCCTTTCCCTGAACACATGCTCACTCGCACTCCTAAGAGGAGTCACACACACGCTCCCACCCCTGCACTGGCCAACTGGGGAGAAGTCCTAGGTACTGCCCCGGCCTACCAGTGTGCACGGGTGTGACGGTGGGCACAGATGCATGGCAGTACTGCCATGCACACATGTGTGCATGAGCGCCAGTGGACATCCAGCAAGGCCGTCTGTGTCGCTCGTCCTCAAGTCGCATCCGTTCCCCTGCTCCTTGGCCTTGGAAGGAAAGAGGAGAGTCCAGGGTCTGTGAGGGTCTGATGCTGAGTTCTCTCCTGCAGGGCGGCCTTGGAGACCGAGGGCCCTGTGCCAAGCAAGACTGTGCAGGGACAGGCTTGAGGTTCTCTGTTCTTGTGGAGCCCATGAGCAGAGGGGATCACAGGCGGCTTGCACTCCCCCTCGCCACCAGCCAGAGGCCCCACTGGGTTTGGAGAATCAGAATGAAAAAAGAAAACCCAGGGATGCTTAGTAAAGGATGAACATTTGAGTGGAAAGGACCCGGTATAAGAACAGGGCCCTGTCACCTCCTGGATGTATTTCTAAGACCTGGCTCAGGGTCTACAATGTAGCAGGGCCTTCTAAGTACTTGTTGAATGAACGACGGCCAGAATGCGCGAGCTCTAGAATGAGTAAGTGGTAAGCAGTGTGTAAGTACGATGGAGATGGGGGGAGGAGATTGGTCACAAGGACAGCTTCTGGGAGAAGCTGACTTGGATCTGGCACTGCAGAAGAGAGGCCCGTATCACTTCTGATTTCCTCTTGTTCCAGGCTCGGTGGTTGACTTGCCTTGGACTACCTCTGAGCGTGCAGCAAGATCACCCCTGTCAAGAACAAGAAAGACTCCCAAATGAGGCAGGAAATGGTAGGCATGGTGAATTAGGGTGACTTCTGTGCAGGCCTGCCCAAAAGCCCTGTAAGCTAAGAAACTGGGAGCCAATGCCTGGGTGTTTCCCTGGGCGGGCAAACATTTCTCATACATGCTAGGCGCATGCCAGCAGAAGATGAGGCTTCTGGGCAGAAGATGAGGCTTCTGGGGGGCTTTGGTGGCAGAGCTGGCTCTCCCGTGTCTCCCCCCACCCTACCTCATCACATATTTTAAGGGACTTGTTTCCAGGGCAACCAATTAATGTCAGGAAGTGAGCGCTTGACATCAAGTGAGAGCAGAGGGGAGAGTGAGAAACTCCACCCCCCATATCCCTAGCTCCTGGCTCAGTGTGTGCAGCCCTGAAGGTACAGCTCAGAGGAGGAAATTCAGGGCACTGCTCTCCTGAGGAGCACAGTTCTGGGTCAGGGCCCAGGAGTAAGGACTGGATTGGAGATCTGAGTCACCTGGCAATGCCTCCACCTGCCACCCCATTTCAAAATGATGCTAAGGCTGTGAGATAGTGTGACATGTTTAGAAGGGTGACAGGAGCAGGTATGTGGCTTAGTGGTTAAGCCACGAGTTAGGAAGCCTGCATCCCACATCAGAGTGCCTGGCTCCACTCACCATCTCATCTTCCTGCTAATGCACTCCTGGGAGCAGCAGGTGACGGCTCAAGTACTTGGGTTCCAGCCAGCACCATGGAGACCTGGACTGAGTTCCCAGCTTCAGCCCTGGCCCAGCTTCTGCCATTGTGGACATTTAGGGAACAGGTGCTCCCACCTGCTCTCTTGCTGTCTCTCTCTCTCTCTCTCTCTCTCTCTCTCTCTCTCTCTCTCTCTCTGCTTCATCTATAAACAAGCAAACAAATAGGAAGTGTGGCCGTCTGGGGTTATCGCCTGTGTTCCTCTGTGTCCACTAGGAGGGAGAGATTTTAGCTTCTGTTTATTTGGGGGCTGATAAACTAGGCTTAGGAAGAAGGACGTCTTGACTCAAAGGGAGGGGACCCCGTTCTGAGATCACGCTTGAGACTTTTCTGTTTGTGTTTCCCTGTGGGGCTGGGTGCTTTGGTTTATGAGGGGAAAGTAGGCACTTTAAGAGTAGGGAGACAATGGGGAAGGCATCAGGAGAGCGTGGAAAAGAGAATCCAATGTGCTCACTGATTCCTGCAGCAGAGAATCAGATGTGGGTGACAGACGGCAGCAGCTCGAACCCCTAGATCCATGGGACCATGGCAAGGCCTCCCGAGGGACAAGTCTGGCCAATTTGGGAGGATCATTCTAATGAGAAGACAAAAGCAGAATGCAAAAGAAGGCCGGGCACTCATTTGTTGGATTTCCTGGCCAAGGGGTGGTAAGTCCATGGCACTGGCTGGGTGGGCCCTGCTGTGATGATGATGAAGCAGGTGACAGCAAAGCTCTGCTTTTCGTGGCACTGCACTTCACAAAACCCTAGCATCCTTGGGGTAGCCCCGCTGCTGAGCAGGGCAGGGAGTGTCTGCAGCCAGGGCTCAGTATGCGGGAACTCCACTCTGGGAAGGAACTGGGAGAAGGAGGACTGGGCAAAGGGAGACGTTGGGCTGCAATGCAGTTTTAGCGAAAGGCCTCAGCCACCCATGAGGCGGGCTCTGGAGCCAGGCTAGCCTTTCAAAGTCGTCCCGAGTCGGGGACAGCCCGTGCTGACCAGGCGTGGGCTGCAGGCTGCCCTGGAGAGGACGTGGCCCTAGGCGAGGCAGCGAATCCAGTGACCAGGTAAGGGCGGCAGCGGGGGAAGGGGTCCCTCGGTACTGGGGGGCAGTGGAGGCACCGCACCACCACGTTGTCTGCTCCCGTGGGTAGCAGTTTTTGGAGCTGAGGAACCTGAAGCTTGGAGAGGTGTGAACACGTGCCTGGGAGCACAGCTGTCCTTCTGGCAGGCTCAGAGGGTAGCAGCAGCATGGAAAGGGGCTTTTGGTGGCGAACGCCCCCAGTGTAACAGCACAAGCCAGCCGCCACGGATGCGGAAGTCCGAGCTGAGTTGGAACAGGGGAGGGAGCTCAGTGCTGTGTCCCCAGGCAGGCGAGTCAGGGTGCCAGACCCTGTGCCTGGGCCTGCTCAGCTCTGCCGAGGTCCAGGGAGCCCCCTCCCACTCTGGGAAGGCAGGACTGTGACCTTAATCCTTCCCAGCCCGGAGGCCACAGCCCTGGGCGGCGAGAGAAGCTTTCGTGACAGATGTGTCGGATTGACCAAAAGACAAGGGCTTTGTGGAGATTACGCTGTCTGCTCCATGCCTGGCCCCTGAACCTCCAAGGAATGAAAGCTGGGGTGGGGGGCGGGGGCTCCTGGCAGCTTCTGGAAAGGGCCAGAGCAGTCATCCAGGGTCCAGCAACAGCAGGCCAGCCCCAGGGGAACGTGTCACCTCAGCAAGACCCGGAATAAGACATTTGTGGAGGGGTCAGCAGAGGCGAGGGAGTCAGTGACTGAGGCTGAGCGACAGGGAGGGGCTGGCTCTCTCAGGCCCAGCCGCCTGTACAGAGACGGAGCAAGGGAAGGGAGCCCTTGGCCTGGGCTTGTCTGCAGTCTGCTGTCCAGCATTTGTGAAGCCAGGGAGGAGTGTGCTTTACATGTGTTTCCCGTGGCCTGGGTGGGGCACAACACCGTCAGGTGTAGGGGAGACGGAGCGAGGGGGCTCCACTCTCCCTCTCCTGCAGGTTGGAATTGCTGGGTCCACACACTGGGAGTGACAACACTTCTTGCTTCTCTCAACTCTGTCTCGCTAGGCGGTGAGAGGGAGAGCCTGAACCACCAGGAAGGAAGGAACCAGAGATGGGAGAGGCAGAGGGACAGGACCCTGGCCACAGCTCTGGGCTCTCCGCCGGGGACACCCAGGAGGACCCCCTTGCCTTCCCCACAGAGATGTGGTCCCCCAGCCTCTCCTGGGGGAGAGAGTGCCTGGCCACAGCCCCCATCCACGTGACCCTGGTCAACAGGGGATGCCTTTGTTTTCAGTTGTAGCTCTGCCACTTGCCCCGCCCCACGTGCCTGCCGCCCTTCGTGACCTTGTGACTCCTCCGTGAAGTCTCCTTTCTTCCTGCTTCCAGGCGGGGAGGGCCGAGGACCAGGGAGGGAGGCGAGGCGGGCGGAGAGGCTGAGCCAATTGCGGCGTCTGCAAGGTGCAAAGCAATCAGCGGAGCCGCTGGTGAGCGGGGTCACTCAGTAGTGTGCGCATCAGGGTGAAATCCTTTCAGCTCTTCGCCAAACCCCTAGTGAAAGACAATCAGGCTCGCTGTCACCGAGCTAATTCTGTCTATATAAAAGCAGTAATGAAATTCACGGCAGGATTACCCTCTCCATCCAATGGGCCAGCGTCGTGGTGACATATCTCTCTTATTGCCCGAATGTAACACACCATCTAATTTACGTCGTGTAGCGAGCAGGAATGAAATGTTCATAAAGGATTGCTGCATCTCGTCACCTTAACTGCGGCCCCGGGCTCTGAGGCATCTGTCAGGGAGAGGAGCAGGAGGAGGGCGGGCGGGCGGGGCTCAGGGAGCAGCCGCCGGCGGCAGGGGCTTCCGTGGGGTGGTTGTTTCTTAATAGGGGGAAGTGGAGGCGGAGGGAGGGCCGAGGAGGGCTTGGGGGAGGCGAGGATAAATAAGGGTAGGATGAAGTGGTCTGCAGGGAGCGTTTGGAAGTCTGTGTGAGTTGGAGGAGCCCGGGAGCCTGGGATGTGCACTCGTGTCCGGGTGAGTTTGAGAGGATGAATGCGGGCGCCTAAGTGGCGAGGGATTGGCTAGGAGATGACCTTCTGGGTGCCTGCCAGATGCTGGCAGTCTCTTCCATCCTCTGCAAGTGGAACCGTCAGAGCTGAACTCTCCAGTGAACAAGAAATGAAACCTTTTATGAACGTGAACAAGGTGGGGCTGGCACTGTGATGTAGCAGATCAAGCTGCTGCCTGCAGTGCCAGCATCCTGTGTGGGCGCTGGTTCGAGTCCTGGCTGCTCCACTTCCCATCCAGCTCCCTGCTAATGGCCTGGGAAAGCAGCAGAAGATGGCCCAGGTGCTGGGGCTTCTAAACCCATGTAAGAGACCCAGAAGAAGTTCTTGGCTCCCTGCTTCGGCCCAGTCTAGCCCCCGGCCGTTGCGGCCATTTGGGGAGTGAAATGGTGGATGGAAGATCTGTCTCTGTCTCTTCCTCTCTCTCTGTAATTCTGACTTTCAAACAAATAAATTTAAGGAAAAACAAGCAAACAAAGGAGCAGACAGGTGTCAGGAGCAAGTTTTACACAGCGAGGAGGAGTTACCCTTGGCTCCTTCCTCACCCTTGCCTGCACTCACAGGACCCACCCATCAGCGAGCCCTTTCAACTGCACCTTAAACTATGCCTCCTATCTGCTCTTTTCTCTCTGTCACTGTCAGCGTTCCCGCGGCCCCAGTCCAAGGTCACTGCCTTCTGTCGCCCTCCTCCTGCCGGGTCTCCCTGTGTGCGACTCGCCCCCTTGACTCAGCCATGTCACCACCACCATCTCTCAGCCTGAAGCCCTGCAGTCCTGGCCCCTTGCTCTCAGGATAGCGTCCAGAACTTTCCTCCCCCGCTTCCTTGCCCTGTGCTCTCAGTTGCAAACCACAGCATATTGGTCTCTTGTCTGAGTGAGCTCTGTTGTAACCAACCACAGAGACTGTGCCTATGCTGTGTCCCCTCCTCGGAAGACACCCGCTTGGCAGTAGAGCAGCTGCAGTACCCTCACTGTCACAGTCCCAGTGTGGTCTGAACTCCTGTTCTCACTTCAGATGTCAGCTGGGATGTTGCATCCTGGCAAAGCCTTCTGTGGCTGCTCACTCTGGGCTAAGTCCCTCCCGTGTGCTTTCGTCACATCATTCACTCCTCTCTTTGGTGCCTATGTGGTTGTAGCCTCTATTCTTCCTGTGGACTCCGAGCTCTATAAGGGCAGGGACCGTGTCTATGTTACTGCTAGATCCGTTCCAGGTGGATGTTACAGATGCTGCATGGACATTTGTGTTGAATGAAGGAGTATGGGAACTCACAACCACTGCCGCCCTAGAAGCCTGTTCCTTCTACCCTTCATTCATCCAGCAAATATCTGATGAACACCTTTTGTGTGCTGGCCACTGTCAAAGGCACTGTGGCCACAATGCTAAACAAGTGAAGACAGTCCCCACTCCTGAGAAGCCCATGACCCATGCAGGGAGGGAGGACGAGCCAAAAAGACAATCGTAGTGCTGTACCTGTCCTGTGCTGCTCCACCCCAGAGAAGAGCCACACCCTTACCCACTGCCAGAGTCACCTACAGAAATGGTGATCCTCTGGGGCCATGCAGGATTCTCCCAGCCAGCCCCGGGATGAAAAGACAGCCAATGAGAGACTCACAACTGGAATTATTTTGTTGGTGATAGTAACAAAGAACATTTATTGAGTACCCACCATGTGCCAGGCACCTCACGTTATGTGATCCTCGACATAGCTGTGGCACCAAGGCATAGAGATGAGGAGACGGAAGCTAAGTGAGTCTAGACAGCTTGTCCCAATGCCTTAATCTGCTATTCATCCACTTTAATCAACACACCTGGGAGGAGCTCCTTTGGGAAAGATGAGGGTTATTTCAGCAACAGTTCAGGATCAGGCAGCCCCAGAGTCTGGCATCTGTGGAGGCATGATCACATGGTGAACCAGGGAGCAGAGATACAGAGAGCCTAGGCCGAACTTGAACTCTAAATAATCAATTCTCTCAGGAGAATCACCTGCTGAGGGCATGTCCCAGGAACCAAACGACCTCCCACAGGCCCCACCTCCGAGTTGCCACAGTTAGATCAAATCTCCACACTGGATCCAGCATCCATTAATGTTAAGACTTGAGAGTTGGGGACCTGCATTGTGGTGGTGGGCTTGAGTCCCAGCTACTCCTTCTGCTATGGCCGGGGGAAGCAGCAGAAGATGGTCCAAGTGCTTGGGCCCTGCACCCACATGGGAGACTCAGAAGAAGCTCCTGGCTGCTGGTTTCATGGCTGCGGCCATCTGGGGAGTGAAACAACAGATGGAAGTTCTCTCTCTCTTTCTCTTTCTTTCTCTCTCCTTCTCTGACTTTCAACTCTGACTTTCAAATAAATAAACAAATCTTAAAAAAAAAAAAAAGATACAAGTGTTTAAATGTCTGTTGTGAGTTCTGGGGAGACTCCTACCCAAAGCACCCCAAACAAGTTCACATGTCTGGCACACACTGGATGTTCACTAGATAGTTATTGCGTGAAAGAATGAGAAGCAAATAAGTAGAAAAGATAGGACTCAAAACTAGTTTTTTCTGGCTCCAAAGCCCTTGGTTTTCCTACTCTTTATTACAAACAGTTAATTTTGGACTGTCAGGATCAGTATTAGAAAAATGACTTGATAGGGCTGGTGTTGTAGTATAGTGGGTAAAAGCCACCTCCTGTGACACTGCCAGATGGAGTCCCAGCTGCTCTGCTTCCAATCCAGCTCCCTGCTAATGCACCTGGGAAAGCCACGGGAGATGGCTCAAGCGCACGCACATGAGAGACTCTGTAGAAACTCCAGGCTTCTGGTTTTAGCCTGGCCCAGCCCTGGTCCCTGTAGCCCCTAGGGGAGTAAACCAGCAAATGGAAGACCTCTCTCTCTGTCTATCCCTCTCTCTGTAACTCTGATTTTCAAATAAATAAATAAACATTTAAAAAAAAAAAGAAGAAAAAATACCAAAACCCAAAAATAACCTGATGCCATGCTCTGCTTCCATGCTTCCTTGCGTCCACATCCACATCCGTGGACCCATGGCCTTCCCACAGGTACACTTGCAACCTCAGGCACCAGGCCTGGCCAGGGCAGGAAGACTAGGTCTGCAGAAGACTCTGGGAGGTGACCGCATGGTGAATTCTTGCCCAGTTTCCCCCACACTCCAGGCTTAGGTTGGCGCCCCCAGAAGTCTGGGAGAGAAGCTTGTCTGGGAAATGGCAGACATCTCACTCTTGCGTGCATAGAATCCATGGAGGCTTAAATGTTTCTTTGAGGGCCAGTGCTGTGGCCTAGTGGGTGGAGCCGCTGCCTGCAGTGCTGGCATTCCATATGGGTGCCGGTTCAAGACCCGGCTGCTCCACTTCCAATCCAGCTCTCTGCTATGGCCTGGGAAAGCAGTAGAAAATGGCCCAAATCCTTGGGCTCCTGCACCCACATGGGAGACCTGGAAGAGGTTCCTGGCTCCAGATTAGCGCAGCTCCAGCTGTTGTGGCCAATTGGGGAGTGAACCAGCAGATAGAAGATCTCTCTCTCTCTCTCTCTCTCTCTCTCTGCCTCTCCTTCTCTCTCTGTGTAACTCCGACTTTCAAATAAATAAGTACATCTTAAAACAAAACAAACAAAAAAAGAAATGTTCCTTTGTGTCTCAGCTATGAGCTCCTTTTCCTTGAATTCAAAGATGTTGACTCACTAGACGACATGTATGTGTGGGAGCATATTGTACGTAGACATGTGTTCACGTATGCAGGCCCCTGCAGTAGTCAATCCCACCAAGTTCAACAGGATCTCTGTGTATGTACCCTGAAGCCCTCCCCACTGGCCATCAGGGGTGTTTGTTCCAGCCACTGCCTTTCCCGCTTGCTTCAAAGAAAACGCCTGTGACCTTCCAGCTGATGCTCGCAGGCTAGGGAGTAGGACTACGTGCCACGAGCTTCCTCTGGTTCTGAGGAAACTTCTGCTCCCTGGCAGTGGGTAATGTCTTCTTTATCAAAGCACAAATGCATAGATGGATCATCCAAGAAATAAAATGTGCCTGGCACACTAACCTCTCAATTCATGTCAGCTATTAACATTATTATAGCTCATTTGTCCTCCCCGACCAGAGGGCGGCCCTCCTTCTCACAGCCCTTGGAGAGCTGCGCGTACAAGAACCCTGCTCCTCTCCTGCCAGGGAGCCGTGCGAGGCCTGATGCACTTGGAAGGATCTCCTGGGGGCAGAGGGCCCTGGCTACTGCCATCCATAACAATCTCACACTTTCCTGGCAGGCAGGATTCACTCAGATTTTTAAAAATCTCCATAAAATAAGTCTCAGGAGTCTCTTTAGACATCAGACATCCAAAACCTTAAATTTCCAAGACACAGATTGTTTCCTAAACACCTTTTCTCTTGGGCTAACCCGGACACCAGACCCACTGGCCCACGCTCATCCGGGAAGCCTGGTTTCCTGCCCTCCCAGCCTGTGACCAGGTCTGTGGCTGTGCCCAGGGCTGACACTCTAAACCAGACCTGCTTCCTCAGGAGAAGCGAGAGTCCATTCACGTTGGATGCCTACAGGCTTTCAGAAAGCAGGGTCAGGGGGCAGGGGTCCGAGGAAGGAAGACACTAACAACTGTTGCAAAGAATCCGGGTTCTCCAGTCAAAGTCGTCCTTAAGCTGGCGTGCGGCGTTTCTTCTCTGAGTCTGTGTGACCTCTGCACAGAGATGCATTACCATCAAGTTTCATTTGATTGCCTTTGGACAGGCAAGGGGGTAGCAGAGGGAAGACTCCACGGACCACGTAAGCTACAAGAGATCCGGGTGATGAATTAAAAGCTGTAACCCACCCCATCAGTGTGTTTATCTGATTTCCACATTTCCCTGCCCTCTTGATTCCCACTCCCCTCCCCGCTGCCCCCAGACTGACATAAATGATACCTTGATGGCTATTTCAGCTGCAACCCTATATCCAGGGAAGCCTGCGCTCCCCAGCTGCCAGCCAGCCCGGATCCCCTAATCCCACAGGGACCAGCTGGTCAGAGTTCTCAGGGATGGCAGACCCCAAGGACGAACGTGGCTTCTGATACCAGCAGACAGTGACTGTGGTCAGCTCCCTTAACTCCTCCGTCTGTTGGCCTTAACCGTAGCGCCCTACTCCCCTTGATAATAAAAGGCAACCTGAGCTTCTTGAAAACTCACCTTTCCATTCCCAATGATAACGACCACAGCAGACTACAGTGCTGGCGAGGGTGAGCTTGCTCTGGGGTGGGCTGGTCAGCCTCGCCGCTGGCCTGGACAGTGGTGTAGAGCGAGGATGGCCGGGTGCTGCCCAGCCCTGCCGCTGTGTGACCCATTATGATCAGAGAAAAAGACAGCTTGCCCGCCGCCGGGCTCGTCTGAGGGTGTTGTGAGTACCTGCAACTAGCTGCACCATTTGAGCTGTATCCGCGGGGAGCAATGACAAGCACCCTCCCAGCTTGGAGTCTGGTGTCACGGCGAGGGGCTGGCTAGCATGCAGACAAGATGGGAAGGCCCCTCAAGATGGAGACTAATTGATGATTTGAAGAAATAGGCATAAATTCCTGTTAAGTATGGGTCGACTCCCTTGCTCTCCAGGCCCTCCCACAGCCAGACACTTGATTTGGTGGTCACTGCCAGCTCAGGGCCACTAAATTCTCTGGTAATCTGCAGGGATATGTAATTATGCTGTGGTTAGTGATTGCTCACTAAGTAAACCCTTGGTGTAGTTACCATGTAAGTCAACGGTATTTACAGGATATTTTTTCTGCCTGTAACTCAAAGCCTTACCGAAACAAATTGGAATTGCCTTCTGGAGGCCGTTGTTATAAATTACAGACCCAACATCTGTCCACATCTGCAGTGTCTAGACAGCCTGTCTCAGCTCTGAGAGGAGAGAGACAAACGGGGGAAAGCGAGGGAGACGGCGCGGAGTCTCGGGTTCTCACAATCTCCCTCCCCACTGCAGGCCGTGCTGACTTCTGAAGTGGACCCAAGTGGGCAGCAGCGCTGCGCCAGGCTCTAGCCAGGTCGGATGTGTTGTCCAGGCGGCCACTTCTGTCGGGCTGCCTCTCCGCCTCGACAGGCTCTCCGAGGTCACCGTGGGGCTGGGAGGAGGCAGTGACCGCCTCCGGAGACTGCTGCAGCCCCATCAGGAGAGCCGGGGCTTCTGCGAACTTCCCCAGCCCCTCTCCCTGCTCCCTGGCTCTCACCCACACCGGCTGGGTGCAGGGAGGCATTCGTTTGCCTACCTTTCCTGTGGTCCCTCTCCTGCACCCACGATAAGGAGCCTGCCCGTCAGCTGAGTGATTGTATTTTTTTACAGTTCCTAGCACAAACCTTCTCATTTATATGTAAAGCAGCCATTAGTCATAGCTCCGTTCCCACACACTGCCTGATGTACAATCACATTTTGCCGCGGATGAATCTTTCCACACAGCTGCTCTGCTATGAATAATCCGTCTCCAGGCCCATAAATCAGAAAAAAATCATGCACCTCGTTCGCCTGATCCTTACACAAAGTCATATATTTTACATGAGGACGAGCTAAATATTCATGAGTCTTAAAGGCTTTCTTCATAGGCACTTGTTGGGGTTGCTTGCTACTATTGGGGGGATACCGAGGTTGTATTTAGGAGAACCTGGGGTTTTAGAGAGGAAGTGGAGGAGGGAGAGGGGGAGAGAGTGTGTGTGTGTGTGTGTGTGAAACAGAAAAAAAAAGAGAGATTGATATAGATCCCAGGCTTATCTCTCAGCCGAGGAGTCATGTGGGACAAAGGATGCTCCTGTGAGGTCTTAAAAACATGATAAATACTTGTTTACCTGAGCTCCCATCCTGCTCAGAGCCATGCATATTGCTTCTTGGACCTTCAAGGTCATTTCAGGAACCTTTGCCCTCTGACCTGCCGAGCAATGAATTTGCCCTTCTCTGCAGGGAGGTGGCTGGGAGTAGCAGAACTCAGGGATGGGGGCTGAGGGAGCAGGGCAGTGGGGACATCAGTGGGTGTCCTGACATCATCCATGTGCCCCAGGGGCTCCCAGCATCCTCTGTGCACCCCATTCTCATCCCAGAGAGCATTCCAGGTGACTCTCCCTGCCCGGCGGCTCGATCTCTCTCCCCGGTCTGTCTCCTTCCACTCTCCCTCTTAGCCTCCCGGCCTCAGCCCCACACTCTCTTCTCTCTGCGGCTTCTTGCTCTGCCGAAGATCCTCTCCCTGCCCGGCGGCTCGATCTCTCTCCCTCCCACAGAAGGCAAACTCCGACCACTCTAAGAATCCTC